GGCCTCCGTCCATCTCCCTGGGTCTCCGTCCATCTCCCTGGGCCTCCATCCCCTCTCCCTGGGTCTCCGTCCATCTCCCTGGGCCTCCATCCATCTCCCTGGTCTCCGTCCATCTCCCTGGGCCTCTGTCCCCTCTCCTTGGCCTTAGACTGTTACAGAAGGAGACGGCAAGTGACACACAGAGAGGCAGCAGAATGGCAGTAAAATAAAAAAGAGTTTACTCCATCGATGGGGATCGATCACACCTAATGGTGGTGCCCTGATCGACTCCTCCATTGAGCTACAACTCTTACTTTTATAGGGTTTTACAGCTTTGATCTTACTCAGTCGGTTACACTGCATTTTCACAGATACCCAAAACAGTGATTGCAAGGCAGCTGAATTCCAACCCCATGCAGTTCTTTGTCAGGGAAGTTACCTTTAAGGTTCATTCAAATACCTGTTCTAGCCAGGGGAAAGGGAGCTTGTTTGATTAACAAAGCTAACAATGGCTCTTTTCACTTACAAACTTTTGTGGGGAGGCTAGGTATCTCCGGTACTGGTTGATTCTGAACTAAGCTGGGTGAGGGGCAGAAGTTATCTTACATTGTGACATTTCCTAAATTTTCATTTATTAAGGTTTTCCCTATCAAGACCACCCTCTCTCTGGTCTCAGCCACAACGGCCCCTCCTATCCGTTTTCCCTGGATGTTGCGTGTTCTTCAAGCCAGCCCTGCATGGTGGTGACTCCATGGAAGGTGTCCGGGATGGTGCCTCACTTTTTCGCCCCTTGGACTCTCCCTCGCTGCTCAGCGGTCTCTCCGGACCAGGAGCCCCTGAGTGGCACTGTCACCAAGCCACCCTGTGATCCAGGCCACCACTTCCCAGGAGCTTTGTGGCCACATTTCTTTCTCTTGCCAAAGACTCAGGGTGGAGACCTGCACTTTCTGCCAGACTTTGACTTTCGTTTCTCCCGGAGATCGAGTCCCTTCTGTGACCCAGGCTTGTACCTTTTGAGCCTGATGCTCCTGTGGCTTGAAGTTTGGGGGTAAGATGAAGGGCTGGAGACCCCAGCTCCTTGTGTCACAGTCAGTTAAGCAGCTGGGGTCCTGGGCAGGGCTGACTGGTGGTTCTCGGAGACGTTGTCTAAGGCTTCTTTTCTTTCCTTTCCCTCTTCTTCCTTTTTTCTTTCTTTCTCTCCTTCCTTCCCTCCTTCTTCAGTACTGGAAATTGAACTCCAGGTCTCACATTAAGCTATAACCCCCTAGCCATTTTATTTTGGTGGGTACTGGGGAGCAAACTCAGAACTTTGTACTTGCCAGGCAGGCGCGGTGCCACTGAGCTACATCTCTGTCCTGCGGCCCATTTTATTTGAGGCAGGGTCTTGCTAAGTTGCTAAATTGCTCAGACTGGGCTCAAACTCCCGATCCTCCGGCCTCAGCCTTCCAGAGTGCTGGGATTACAGGTGTGAGTGAGCCACCTCATCTGACTTCGGATTCACTTCCTTCCTAACCTGGAATTGACTTGAACATGAAAATCTGTATTGTGGAAAAGGGAGGGAGGCCGATCAACCAGCTTCCTGGGACTGGACACACTCCGAGGTCCCTAAGTGCCCGGATGGAAGAATTCTGACCTTTGTCCTGAGACCCCAGACTCCAGACTCCAGCTCTTCTCCTTTGGACCACAGTATTCTCTGTTTGCTTCTTCCTCGAGGACCCCACTTCTGGATGTCCAGCCCTATGATCTCTCAGGACTTGAACACTGTCTTCGCACCTAATGCATGCTTAAGCCCCAGGAGTCTGCTCCCTGCTCTGCAGGCCAAGATATTGTCCCATTTCTTCTCCCAAACATCCCAGTTAACTACATCTCCCATGAGACTATGGGACTGCAGTGTTGCCTTGAAAAACGTCCCCCATTATTGAGGCACCTCTGAGGAATAGTTCCACAAGGAAACACAAGGATGGGATGTGGTAGATAAGAAGTCCTATCCTGCCAGATGTGGTGGTGGCTCATGCCTGCGACCCCAGCTATTTTGGGAGGCAGAAGGACCACAAGTTGGAGGCCTGCCTGGGCAACTTGGTGGAGACCTGTCTCAAAATTTAAAACAATTAAAATAAAAGGCTGGGGATATAGCTTAGTCACAGAGCACTTGCCTGGCATATAAGATGCCTTGGGTTCCATTCCCAGTACTGCAACAAAACCAAACACCCTATCTACTCACCCAAGAAGACACCTTGTTCTGTTCAAGAGTAAGGAGCAGGAATTGTCCTGCAGACCGTAGGGACACTGTCAGAGTAGGAAAATGGAGCAGCGGGAAGCTGGGAACTTGGGGTGGGGTGTGGCAGGTGTCACGGGGTCAAGCGGACACAGGACACAGAGCCATCCCTCCTTCCAGCACTGACACACACTCCTTAGATCCTCTTCTGTTAAGAGTCTTTATTATCCCAAGTAAGAAAAATAAAAAAATAAATAAGATAAATAACCCAATAAATAAAAAGCTAAATTAACAGCCTTGGCTTCAGGAAGCATAGCTGGGGCTGCGGCCCTGTAAAGGCCCCACCATGCTCAAAGGATCTGAGGAGCCCACATCCGGGGGCTCGGGGGGCAGCATCCCTGTTGGCTCCGGAGGTGCTGGGTGCAGGCCTGGCAGTGGCAGAAAACGGGCTGGTCCTGGGGGCACTGGATCCCGGGACGAGGAGTCACTGGGGAGCATGCGCAGCGGGAGGCCATGAGCTTCAGACTGGTAGATGTTGTAGCCGTCTTCAAGGAGCAGCTCCCGGAAGCTGCAGGCCTCAGGGTCAAAGTGGAGCTGAGGGGACAGAGAACAAGTGTCAGAGCCCCAAAGCTCCTCTGTACTCTTGTCCTGCACTATCTGCAGGCTTCCTCCCTCTGACTCAGGGCCCAGAATCCTCAGACCCAGGATCCAGGCCCCAGCCCCATTCAGGAAACCAGATACCAAGAACCAACCTTTACCCCCACCATAGGGAAGCCACCTGCCTGTCCCCTGCTCAGGAATGTTTCAGCCCTTAGAGGCCTGGGATTTAGCTCAGTGGTGCCACACCTGGCTGCCAAGTGCAAGGTCCTGAGTTCAATTCCCAGTACCAGGAGAGTGCAGGGGAAGAATGTTCTAGCCCAGTAGCCCTCAAGACTTCCACAAGGCACGCAGCACCTGGTTCACACCTCAGGTCACGGTGGCTCGTGGCCATAGTTCCTGGAGGGTCCCAGGATGAGCAGGTACAGAGGAGGCAGTGTGGCCAGGGTCAGGGGTTTCAGTCCACATATGTCCTGCCTTGCCCTCACACTGACCCTGCCTGGGCCTCAGTTTCCTCGCACACTGGTAACCACTGCTCAGCTGCAGAGCTTGCAGGGAGGGTGGGAGTGGAGAGCCAGGGACACCAAAGCGGCTGGTGACCGAGGAGACACAGGCCAGCATTGTGATGATGACAGCACTAGCAGTGGGGTCCAGAAACTCACCGATCCATACAGGGTCCCATCAGGCCTCTGGCACAGGAACCTGGAAGTTCTGACCCCCAAGATCTGAATGACTCCTGGCTTCAAGGCTTTTAGCTCCAGGAGGCCTAGAGGAGAAAACAGTAAGACGCTGACCTCAGCTCCCAGGCCCCTGTGTCCCAGCCTGGGGAACCGAGCCCTACACTCACTTTCAGGGCTCCGGTGGGCAGCGCCCCGCACTGAGCCGTCGGCCCTGATCTCCAGGTGCACTTCTGTGTCCTGGGCATCGTCTGTGTAGAGGTGCCGCTGCCGGACCTGGCCCCCAAACTGGAGGAGGGGGCTGGAGTCAGGGATCGGGCGCCCCTGGCAGGCTCCCAGCAGAAGGACAGCCAGCGCAGGGACCCACAGCCCTGGGCGCTCAGACTCAGCCCCTGCCCAGTCCATCAATGGTGCTTGTCCGGGGTGCAAGGCTGGAGGAGCAGAGTGGTGGAGGATGGAGTCCAGGTCTGGCTGGTCCCGGACAGTGAATTCCCACAGTGGCTCAGGTAGCCAATGTCCCAGGTTCTCCTGCTTGGGGATTCCAGCTGCCAGGACACCCAAACTCTGGGGATAGCTGCAGGCCCTACAGCTTTTATACCTAGACACACTGCCCACGTGCCCTCCCCACTCCTAATGCGTGATATTTGACCCACTTGGCAGGAGCCAGAATTCCACCGTGGCCAGGGCAGGCAGAGGGATGATGCAATGGGGGGGGGTCAGGCTGGGGGCCTGAACACTGGATTCTGCAGGATGAGGGAGACCAGAGCCTGATTCATTGGGACTGGGGTGCAAGGGGCACGGCCATGATTCCAGGACCAGCGGGAGGAGGATCTGGAGTCTCAAACTCCCGGTCTAAGAGACAGGGGGCTTGGGCCTAGGGCCTGGGTCTGAGGGGGGACTGGTCCTGGACTCCTGGGCCACAGGAAGGAAGCTGGGCCTAGAGCTCTGGGTCTGAGGGTTAGGGATTCTGAAAACAAACAGCCTCCCTGGGTGACAGATGCTGATTTAATTCCACAAGTGGAATTTTTGTCCCCGTTGAATTTCTCTGTTCTGTAGAAAGGAGAGTCTTAACACTTAATCTGAGAAAAGCTGCTCCTGCCTTGTAAAAGTAGTCAGGAGCTGGTGTCCCGGCCTCGAATCTTCCCCTGGGTCCCAGGCCAACCTCACCCTTTCTGGCTCCTGCCCAGATGTTCAAATCCTGCTCCTCCTTTGGCCTCCTGCTCCTGATGCAATCCTGGTGTTTCTTTCACCAGAGTGGCTTCTGAGGCCCAGACAGGTGCTCTCAAAATAGCTGGTGAATGAGGAAAGAGGGTACGGAGAGCAGAGCAACTCCAGCTGAGCTGGCTCTGGTGTGGGGTGGGGACCGCAGGGAAGAGGCCAGGCGATTTCCAGAGCCCCTGGCGGGTCTGGGGAGGAAGGAGCACCAGGCATGGAATCTTGGAGGAAAGATAGATCTCTGGGCAGTGGAGTGAAAGTCCCATCTTCCGGCTGATCCTGGACAACAGAAATGGTTCTGCTCAGCCCGAAGCTTTTGTCTCTGCTGAGGCAGGGAGCACAAGTCCTTTTCCCTTCCATTTATCACCTTTCTCCTTCCGGTGCAGAAAGTAGCACCCGGGCACCAGAAGCCAGAATTTCCGAAGTGGAGGGTTGGGGGTGGGTGGGATCGGAGTTGTGGGATTTGCATGTGGAGGGTGCGTACGGGCGCGTGGAGACTGGGACCGAGGACAGTGGCAGCCGGCCAGTCCGAAAGAACCCTGACGGACAGGTTCCTGTCCTCCGAGGAGGGCGCAGTAGCGCCGGGCGGCTCCCGTGGGGCCGGGCGTGGCCGGGCAGAGCGCACCCAGCATCCCGGGCTCCTCTGTCCACCCGTGGAGGAGGCTGCCGTCCGCGTGGTGCCCTGTGGGTGTCACAGCAGTGGGAGCGGCCGGGGCGGGGCCCCCACCAGAATCGGGGAGGAGGGGCGGGCGCGCCCGGCTTCTGGCCGCGGGGGGCTCCAGATAAGGGCGGGCCGCTTCCTGCTACCTGCCCCTCGCGGGGGCGGAGGCTGCGCCTCTGCTCGTCCCCTCCTCCCGCCCTGGGACTCGCTGCCAGTCCCGGCGCCCGTGTGGAGGCCAGGGCTGCAGGCCTGGGGGGGCCGGTTCCGGGAGGTGGGCAGATGAGGCCGGCGCTCTCTGCCCGAGCGCCCGGGCCACGCGAAGCCGGCTCGGGGCCCGCCGCCTTCCTCCAGGCGCTCAGGTGAGTGCCCTGCGGATACGGGGGGCCTACGGACTCCACTCCAGGGGCCCGGCCAACGAGATCCCTCCTCCGGCCTCTCCTATTCCCCTCGCCGGGTCACTTCCTGTCCCCTTAATGGTGAGCCGTGCCCCTCACGGACAGGCGCACCTGAGAAAGGGGTCGGGAGAGACCCAGAGGCTCAGAGAACTGCATCACTGCTAGCTTGTTGTGAAACCAGCAGTTTCCACCGCAGCGCCCGGTATTCCAAGCTTCTCCATCCCTCCAACCTAGGATTAAGGCTCCTGGTCTCTTCTGCCTCACTCAGGAGTGTGCACGTTTACTCTCCTAGGTCACAGTGTCCCCTAAATCTCATTTCCTGTCTAGCAGACATGTGGGCGCCCAGCCCCCGCCAGCTCTGCCTGGGCTTCCTCTTCATCTGCGTCCTCTCAGGGATATCTTTCTTTCTCTACCTCCAAGACATATTCCAAAATGGCCTTGGCCTATCTGCGCTGTGTCCGGACCGACACCTGCGGGCATCCCCAGTAGCCATCTTATGCTTGCCGGGCACTGCATTGGACTCCAACACCTCTTACTGTCCTCAGCACCCTGCCGCTCTCTCCGGAACCTGGACCATCCACCCCGATGGCCGCTTTGGTAACCAGATGGGACAGTATGCCACACTGCTCGCCCTGGCCCAGCTCAACGGCCGCCGTGCCTTCATCCTGCCCGCCATGCACGCAGCCCTGGCCCCTGTGTTCCGGATCACCCTGCCCGTGCTGGCCCCTGAGGTGGACGGCCACACACCGTGGCAGAGGCTACAGCTGCACGACTGGATGTCCGAGGAGTATTCCCGCTTGAAGGACCCCTTTTTAAAGCTCTCCGGCTTCCCCTGCTCTTGGACTTTCTTCCACCATCTCCGGGAACAGATCCGAAGTGAGTTCACCCTTCATGACCACCTTCGGGAGGAGGCTCAGGGATTCCTGAGGAAGCTCCGCCTTGGCCACCTGGGGTCCCGGCCACACACTTTCGTGGGGGTCCACGTACGCCGTGGGGACTATGTACAGCTGATGCCCCAGCACTGGAAGGGTGTGATAGGTGACCGAGCTTACCTCCAGCAGGCCATGGACTGGTTCCGGGCCCGGCACGAGGGTCCCATCTTTGTGGTCACCAGCAATGGCATGGAATGGTGCAGGGAAAACATCGATACCTCCAAGGGTGATGTGGTCTTCGCGGGCGATGGGCAGGAAGGCTCGCCAGGGAAGGATTTCGCCCTCCTCCTGCAGTGCAACCACACTATCATAACCATTGGCACCTTTGGCTTCTGGGCCGCCTACCTGGCTGGAGGGGACACTGTCTACCTGGCCAACTTCACCCTGCCAGACTCTAAGTTCCTGAATATCTTTAAGCCTGAGGCCGCCTTCCTGCCAGAGTGGGTGGGCATCAGTGCTGACCTGTCTTCCCTCCAGGCACCCAACATGTGGACGTGGCCTTGGAAGAAACTAGGGAGGCTTTATGTGTAGACGGGATCGATCTAAAGCCACTCTCTGGAGGCCTGGTGGCTTCTGGGTAAGCCAACAGAGTGGTCCTGGAACAGATGGCACCCATTTCAGCGTGATTCTCCTGGCTAGACTTGGAAAGAAGCGGGGGCTTTCTGGAACTGCTGAACACTCTAGAACCAGCAGAACTTATTTTCCCGTTGGCCGGTAATATCTAGAGAAGCTTGTGGCAGCTCTAGAGAAGTTGTAGTGCCCATCTGTTCTGCTCTTTCCTGTCCATATCCATAGGACTCCTGAATGGCTGCTTCCCTTGTAGAGTTAACCATCTTTATCTTTTCTAGATAAGGTGTTACTTTTCCCCTGGGTCTTCAACAGACTGGAGGAATTCATGGGTTATCTAGAGCAAGCATGTACCAACTCCATTTCTGAGTGATTCTAGAAGGGGGATTGTTCTAGAGAGGACTAGGCTGAAAGCCCGCAAAGAACCCTGCAGGGCCCTTCCAGAGGAGACAGGTTCCAGAGTTCTACATCACTCTAGGGAAGAATCTACAAGGCCACAACTGGAAGCTCAGCATCCCACCACTGCCAGAGAGATGGGAACAGGACAGCCTTTTGCCTTGTTCATAGGCTCTAGAAAAGCTGGGGCAGTTGGGAACAGAGCTGAACTCTGACCAACCCTCAGCCCAGGAAAAAGCCTCAGAATTGCGTTTTGAGCAGATAGACTAAATCACAGGTGAGAGGAGAGAGATAGCTATAGTTGAAATGCTGCAGCTTTAAAGCACAAACTTCCAGAGATCCAGCGACACTATTTTCTTTTTAAACTCAAAACTGCCAAAGACAGAAATGGCACATATTGGCTCTGGGTTTAAGATCAAGGAAGCTTCCTCCTCTGCAGTCTACCACTGAGGATCTGGGTTCTGTTTTCTGCAGGTCGGAAGACTGCAGAAAGCTGGGGCGATTGTGATCCTTGGCAACTGTTGTGTATCCCCGAGCTCCCAGAACCACTGCCTCTGGCTTTGGGCAGATACGGAATGAGTAGACCTAAGGATGTACAGATCCCGCAGCCCAGCTCAAGCTCAGGCAGGAGCACAGGGTCTGATTAAGGAGCACTCCAATTTCAGGAGCTCTTGCTGCTTATTTGGATGGTGAAGGAAGATGTCCTAGATACAGTGAAATCTAATTGTGCCTCATTCCAAGAACCTGGATCGCTAGTCTTCTCAGGGAATTTCAGGGTACCAGTCCCTATTCCCCTGCCACAGACTGGAGTGGGGGTGTGAATTAAAAGTCTCTATCACCAATCCCTGTCTCTGCAGGTATTTTGGAGCTGTGTGTGTCAAGTGCATGTGTGTGTTAAAGTGAAGGGAAAAGCAGAGAGTTTCCAGGGACTGCTTTTTCTGATACCAGGCATCAAACTCAGGACCTTGGATTTTCAGGGCAGGTGCAGCACCACTGAGCTAAGTCTCTGGCCCTGGTTTTTTTTTTTTTTTTTTTTTTTTTTTTTTTTTTTTTT